AGCACGGCTGACCTTCATCAATGCTGATCCCGGATCTCTCTGGCAGCACTGGAAAATTCAAATTTCAGGCTCAGGAATAAAGGCCTAGGGGCGGGGATGGAGAGGAGAAAGGCTCGGAGATAGCATTCACTCTCAGATCCGCTTTGATGAGACCTGCCTTGCAGTGTGAGGGTCAGCAGATCAGAGAGGTCCCCTGGCCTGGGCTTCCTGGGGAAGCAGAAGTCCAGCCCTACTCAAGCTACTAGGACATGTCCTGTCCTTCCTAGTTGTAAAGTGTAGGACAGTAGACCAGAGACCATCGGTGCCATGGCAGAGAGAGAGGATTACATGATGGGCAGGAGAGGACAGAGAAGGGAAGGTCAAAGGATTATTTGCCGAGTTTCATCCTTTCCCTCCCTCCCTCCCTCCCTCCCTCCCTCCCTTCTTCCTTCCCATGGACCAACCCGCTGCTGAGCTGAACTCTGTCCTGAGGTGAAGGGAGCTCATTCCTGCCAACTAACCCTGTGGGGAGGAATCAAGAGAGGTCCTTGCTGTAAAGAGAAATTGTATTCTGTACCCAGAAAAGGAAAATCAGTATCCGAACACAAACAAAGCAAGCAAGGAAAAGCTGAGCACAGCGTAAGCTCTGCCCCTGCTGCAGGTGCAGCAGACCAGCCTAAGGCTGGCCCTCAACATTACAGCAAAGAACTCCAGCGGCATGCACAGCATGCTTGCGCTTTCTCCACAGCATGATCAGACAAATCAAAAGAGAACTGGATGGAGAAAACAACAGAAATCACTAAATGCTTCTAGTGGGTACCCACACTTCTCTACATCCTGTTTGCAGCAGCTGGAGGGACACTTCCAGGAACCCGCACCCATTAAGAGGCTCTGCCTCTCACTGTTACCCCCACCATGCTTCCCTGTGGTGGCGCATTGCTTGCTTGCTACTCTATATATCACGAACGAACGGTGTCCCCAGGCGCCCTCCTGGGGGGTGGGAGGTTCAGGTGAATGAATAACTGTCCTCTTGGTCCCATTCCAATGATGTCCTTCTGTCTTTCTCTCTGCCTTCTTCCTGCTCCTCATCCATATCCGCACTTCCATCCTTCAGAAGCCCCAAAGAAAAACGTACACGAGAGCCCGGTTTCTCTGGAAACTGAGCTCTCCTATCCTGGGAGGTTCCATCCCTGGGTGGTACCCAAGCACAGACATTTAGTTGCACGGCCTGGAGTGTGGGACTACACAGAGGAGATGATGGGTGGTGTAAATGCCACAAGTGCTCAGTGAATGCTGTGGAGTCTCCTTCAGTCTTCTCCACCTTTCAAGGAGACTGCTGTGAGGGGACTTGGTGGCTGTACTCATTTCCTGTCACTGTTATGACAGATGGCCACAAACGCAGTGCCTCACACCAGCACAGATTTGTAATCTTGGAAATTTGAAGGTCAGACCCAACAGCCCCCAGGGCGGAATCCTTCGTGAAGGCTCTCCCAGGAGGACCTCCTCTTAGTATTCTTTTTAATCTAGAAGCTGCCCTTGCATTTTTTGTCTCACCCCCCCAAAGTGGACAGTGGCTGGCAGGTCCCCATGCTCCTCCAGCCCTTGCTGTCATGCGATCCCCTAAGACCATCCAGATACCCTTCCTATCCCAAGATCTCCAGTTCAATCACACTTACCATGGCCCCTTTGCCATGTAAGATGACGTATTCACAGGCTCCAGAGACAAGGACCTTGGAGAGCTGTCTCTGGAACCTTTGTGGTAGGGCCGTAGTAACGGTAGCTGACATTGGATGGTTACAGCATGGCACCCTGGGAAGGTGGCACCGGCACACATCTTCACTGCACATATGACACACTAGGACTTTTAGAACTCTGCCTGCAGCAGAGCTGGACCCTACAGCACCCCGTTTTGACTCTGAGGTGACACCACCTCTCTGGGACCATTGCAGATCCTATGCCCCGGGCACAGACCAAGCAAGGACTACAGCTGACTGAATTCAGGGAGAGAAGTCTCATTGGAATTTCTGACTAACCGTGGTCTAGGTTAGTTCTCCTCCATCTTCTCTTTCCCATAGTGCCCATAATATGCACCTAAACCATGGACCCAGAAGACTTAGGGAGGCTTCCAATAGACATTTTTATTGTTTTGTTTTGTTTTTTAAAATTGATTATTGGTTTGTTTTCTTGTGGTACTTTGGATTGAACTCAAGTCCTTGTGCAAACTGGGTCAGTACTCTACTACTGAGCTGTAGCCTCAGCCCGTTTGTTTGTTTGTTTGTTGAGACAGGGCCTCACTATGCAACCTGACTCTAGACTCTTGATTCTCTTGCTTCAAACTGAGTTTTTCGATCATATGTGTGTATCATCATGCCCGGTTTGTGGCTCTCTCTAAGGGCTCTTTGTCATCATCCTTCCTCACAAACTCCAAAATGCTAAGACCCAAGAGAAGGCAACTTTTCTAGAAAGAAAACAAACAAACACATCCAAAAAAAATCAGTCTTGCACCTTGAACCAGAGCACTGCACAGCCGCCTCCCATGGGTGCTGGGATGAGAAGGAATGGCCTAACGTTCATGGAACACTTGCTAAAGCCAGGCATGAGTTAAACCATTAACTCATTTGTTGCAGCCCTGTGAGGTATTGTTAGTGATGCCATTTTACAAATAGGAAATTGGAGACTCAGAGGGATGCTTAGGGTCGCAGAGCATCAGTGGAGAAGTCAGGGTTAGGTACATGCCTGTAAGAACCAAGACGGTGGCTGCTTATGCTCCTTCCTTCCTTCCTTCCTTCCTTCCTTCCTTCCTTCCTTCCTTCCTTCCTTCCTCCCTCCCTCCCTTCCTTCTTTCCTCTCTTCCCTCTTCCTAGACTGGGAACAGAATCCAGAACTTGGTGCATACTAGTCAAGTACCACTGAGCTACATCATCCCCAACTCTTATTTTTGTTATGAGGCAGAGTCTCACTATGCTGCTTAGGCTGGCTTTGAAATTGCTAGAAGAGCCTCAAACTGGACCTCTTCTACCTCGTCCTCTAGAATAGCTGGGATCACAGGCCTGCACCAGCATACTCAGCTAGTCTCCTGGTTTCTATGCCAATCAGAAGTGAGGGTTCCCTTATATTCGATTCTTAGGTTGATCTTTATATTAAGCCCATTTTAGAGAAAAAAACAAAAAACAAAAACGGAGCCAAGGAAGCTGCCTTATTTTCACAGCATCATACCTTCGAAAGTCCCTTGCCCTTCCCCCTTTGCAAGGAACTCAACCTGAGCAAACATGGCCTGAAAGCTTCCCCTTGGGGTCCCAAGGTCAGCCCGATAGAGCAGTGGTTCTCAGCCTTCCTAATGCTACAGCCCTTTAATGTAGTTCCTCATGTTGTGGTGACCCCAACCATAAAACTGTTTTCATTGCTACTTCACAACTGTAATTCTGCTTCTGTTATGAATCTTAATGTAAACATCTGATATGCAGGATATCTGATATGTGTCTCCCAAAGGAGTCATGGACCACAGGTTGAGACATGTTGCTCTCAATGCATGTGCTCATACTCTACCTGGACTTCAGCTGAACCCCCCACACACACACACACACCAGCCTCAGCATCTCCTCTCTTCAGATGTCCCCATTAGTCACAGCCTTCTGAGATTATCTAGGGAGGGGCAAAGCTGCCGTGTGGTACTCTGCTTGCCCAGGCCACCTGGTGAATCAGCTCAGGCCCCAGCCTGCTGGTGTGTGGTTGATGCCAGAAATGATCATTCACAGAGCAACCAGCTTCCTGCCGCCTAGACTATTCTAGAAGGTGCTTGACTCAGCAAGGGTGGGTATTTCTGAGGAGGAAAGTTGTCTATCTGTATCCACTTGCATGATCAGCTCTGCCTAGGACATGTTCCGAGGTGGCAGGAAGTGCAGGGCAGAAAGTGACGGGAGGAAGGCATGGGGTTGAGCAGCTACAGAAATGAGTTGGCACTGGGGACTCTGCGGGAGTAACTGCCCGTCCTGCCTGGAGAATGAAGAGAGGGATTCACTCTGAGGCTGGCCAGCTGTGCTCATTGCCAGAACAAGCTGGGAAACAGTGCTTTTTAAAAGTAGTTAATCTTTGCTCATTCTTAACTCCCCATTCTGTTCTCCGTGTGTCCACTGCTCCTCTGTCGGTCCCAATCCCAGTGGAAACTCAGACATGAGCTCTAAGGATACAGTAAAGCATCAAAGATATAGCAGCAACTGACATCCATTGACTTTCCCTGACTGTGCTGAGCCTTGAGCTAGGAAGAAGACATCACTGGGTTTAACTCATGCAAACGTGACAATCGCGCTCATAGGTAGTATCCCCATTTTACAGACAGGGAAATGGTCACAAGGTGACTAAAAGGTCACCCTGCCGGTGGAAAAGGGGCTGGAGCTTAAACTCAGATGCTCTGGCTTTCAAAACCAGACTCTTACTACGTTCAGAGTGACAATTCAAAACAAAACAAAAAGCAAAGCAGGGGTCGGGGAGGTGCCTGCCCTACAGGCTTGAGGACCTGAGTTTGGATCCCAAGCACTCATGAAAAAAGCTGGGCATGGTCACATGCATCTGTGACCTCGCCTGATGAGGGCGGTGGGGTTGGGGCAGGGATGACAGACAGGCTGATAATCCCCAGGGCCCTCTGGTTAGCCAGTCTAGAAGTTAGATAAGCAATTGCCAGAGAGCTAGGAACCACATAAGTTGGCATAGGATGGGATGTAGATTTGAATCCCAAAGTCTTCATCGAATAGCTGTGTGGTCTTGGGCAAATTATTTGACCTCTTGATGCCTCCATGTCTCCTCTTATAAATGGGAAAAATAGTAGTAGCATGTTCTAGAGTGAATCAAATCAACATGTCTAGGTGCTTAATAGCAATGCAAGCTGTGGCTTTTGTTACAGTGTTATTTGGGAGCACATAGGGCCAAGGGCATAAAGTTTTTCTTTATGTCTCCATAAAACCAGAAGGGGTCATTGGTGAAGTCCTGGGCCACCCCTGCTGGCTCTAGAAGCACCGGGTCTGGGATCCAGGAGGCTCAGGGCTCAGATCTGTGACACTCACATTTACCGAGTGGCCACCAATGTACCACTGATGTTGGAGATCGAAGATGAATATAGAAAGGTTATTCTTGTCCACCTTTCTCCCAGCTTCCGGTGTTGGGTTTCAGTGCCCCTCGCAGTGCCTGTGGCCAAAGAAGTTCCCTAGCCCTTCAGGCTTCCTCTGCAGAGCAAGTGTCTAGCTCAGGATGCTAGCGGGGGCGGGGGATGCTGCACCTCCGGGACCGGCGCGCGCTCTGGCCACCTCGGCCCTTCTAGCAGGCGCCTCTCCTGTGGCCTGCGGTCAGTGTGAACTGCAGGGCGTGGGCCGGCAGGTCTGGCTGTGCCTGACGGGGGTTGGGAGCCGGAGGAATCTCTCACAACGTGGCCCAGGCTGGCTAGGAGAGAGACCTGCCTGCCTGCAGGAGTCCCCAGCCTCTCCTGGCAGCCAGAGCACCGCACCGGAGGACAGCAGGCCCGCGTCCCAGACTGTCGCCTCACAGGTACGCGTCCCTGAGAGCCAAGCTCCTTCTTTTTGCCACGGTCCCGGGTCGCTGGCATGCCAGGGCCCGCAGAAGCGCGTGGGGGAGGGGGGTCTGCGGCTGGGTTGTGGATCCTGCCCCAGAGCGCACACTGTGGGATCGGGTGTGCAACCGCTGCCCGGCGACAGATGCGGGTGCGACTGCGCGCAGACGCGTGTGCACAGCAGAAGCAGGCACACCTCCAAACAGCATCGTGTTTGTGCGGTGGACCCGCAGAACTGACTGTGACCGGGTAGTGTCTGTCCCGGAGCGCTGGCGCCTCCCGGTCCTCTCCTGGGTTGGGTGTCTCCTTATGCGGTCGCCACCGGGTTTAGCAGCCACCCCCGTGCCTGGCTCAGTAGCCGCCTGGTAATTTCTTCACCTGAAAAAAAAAAGTGTGAGACCTTTAACCCTTCATTTCTCCAGTTCTGGTGACCCAAAAATTACAGTGGGGTCCTTTCCCCGAATCTGTGTGTCCCTTCTTCCGGCAGGATCTGGTCACACCTCGGGCACTGAGATCCAAACAGTTCCCATGTCCTCGCCTTTCACTCAGGGACAGGAAAGCTGGCCCACCACCAGTCAGCAGGAGCAGTACTAGCACTTGCTGGTCCTAACCCCTAAATCTCCTCTGGGAATCAAACAGCCCAGAGAGAAAGCTGTGTCCCAGATCCTGTGTCTGGAATGAAGGGATGGGTGGATAAAAGCGAAGCAAACGCTAAGAGAAGCAAGTTATCTGGGGCTCAGCACTGGATCAAAAGGGCACTGTCTTGGTGCCAATGTGCCCGAATGGCTTTGAGCATGTCTGGCTGTGAAAGGGGAAGGGGACACCTGTGGATGGATGGATGGGTGGGTGGGTGGGTGGGTGGGTGGGTGGATGGATGGATGGATGGATGGGTGGGTGGATGGATAGGTGGGTGGGTGGGTGGATGGATGGATGGGTGGGTGGGTGGGTGGGTGAATGGGTGGATGGATGGACCCCAGAGTTTAATGACCATCTAATGGTCGTTTGAAATGACACAAATCTGAGACAACAAGGTTATGACTTGTGTCATTCCTCCTGCCTCCACCTCTTAATACAGAGGTGAGTGTCCAAGAGGCAGAGCAGGGAAATTCCCAGCTCAGTGCGCAACACCGGACAGGCTGTATATGCCTTGAGCTGTCTGCCCAGGTCCAGAACTCCATGGCTCCATTCAGAACAGCCTCTTCTGTTTGTTGGTATTGGGCTTCTCCTCCTTTTTATCCTCACCCTTTCTCTCCTACCTGCTCTCCAGAGGGCTGCACAACTGCAATGCACACCTCCAGTCCACAGCGCCCTCACCTCAAGCTTCAGTGGGCGCCTCTGAGAGAGGGGCCTGTGGCTGGAGTTCACTGTCTACTGTCTCTGACTTCCAAGGTGTAGATACCAACTCTGAGAATCCCCCCCCCCATCCCCAGTACATTTTCAGGGTAAAATGCACACTGTAGGAAGAGATTTCTCCAACAGGGACTAGAGTCAGAAGGACAATTAAACTGGGACCTCTGGGGGCCTGGCGTTGAAAGTCCTGTCCCAGCTAGGTGACCTCATCGCTGTGCTTTCCCTTTCTGAGCCTTTGCGTTTTGCAGGGAAGTGGAGATGGCAATGCCCACGTGACAGAGTCGATGCAAAAACTAAAGTCAGCTAACCATGCAAATGAACCCAGTACATGGTAGACCCTTAAGTGATTTGGGAGCCAATAATACTAACATGCCCATTAGCCACTGCAGCTGAGCAAAGCACTTTATTATTATTATCATCATCATGTTATTGTTTTTAGAGATGAGGTTTCTCTGTGTAACACCCCTATCTGTCCTGGAACTCACTCTGTAGACCAGGCTGGCCTTGAGATTTGCCTGCCTTTGCCTCCTGAATGCAGGGTTTGAAGGCCAGCGCCACCTGCAGAGAGAAGCACTTTAAATACATGAGCTCAGCTAGGGACTCTAGATAGGAGGAAGAGCCAGACTTCTTTAAGGGTGTGACCCATAGTAGGTCAACTATGCACCACTGGGTGGCCCCACACCTAGGAGTACATGGGTAGCATATTGGATTCAACGTGATCATTAAAAAGTGAGGATAGCTAGCTGGGGGGGGGGGATAGGTGGATGGGGCGGATCTGTGAGGAGTTGGGGGAGGGGAGAGTGGGAGTAACGTGATCAAAACACAGTAAATGGAAGAAACAAGGGGAACAAACAAAAACGATGTGGGCTCAGCATACTGCTATGTTGCTCAAAAGACTGAGATTTAGGAAGGGCTCGGAGACACCGGGTCATCTCTGTCAGCTGGGTGGCCTTCCTGCCAGTGGACCACACACACGTATGCACGCGCGCACACGCACACACACACACACACACACACACACACACACACACACTCTCATAGAGCAGGAGTCTGGCCCCCGCAGTCAGCCGGGGGTTCCTCTGGGATGTCAGCCCTTGTCTTGGGTGGGGAGCTCCCTCCAGTTTAGCACTTTTATTTCAATTAACAGCTGTCCCCAGAGACAGGGAGTGGGGGCTGTCTGTCTCCTTAGGCTGAACTCAGAAGCTGAGACAGAATTGCTTCACTTAACTCTATGGGTCAGGCCATCACAGAGCCCACCAGTATCTAGAAGGGCTCCTACTGCTTGCACCATCTTAGAGTAACCCTTTCCCTTCTCCTCCATCTTCCCCACCCTCTTTCCAGGGTCTGCTATAGCCCAGGCTGGTTTCTGATGACACAGAGACTTCATGTTAGCTATGAATACTCAGCCTTATCTTAGCTCTTATTTTCATCTGTTTCTCTTTACGTTTTGACTCAGGACTTGCTTGCTTGATTTCTTTCTTCCTTCCTACCCCCCTCTTTTCTTTCTTTCTTTCTCTCTGTCTGTCTGTCTGTCTGTCTGCCTGCCTGCCTGCCTGCCTGCTTCTGGCCCCAGGTGTGTCCCTCTTCCTCCTTTCTCTCTTTTTTTTCCTTGAGCCACACTCTCTGCCAACCAGCCCTGCCTATCCCTCTCCTGCCTAGCTATTGGCCATTCAGCTTTTTGTTAGGTCAATCAGGTGCCTTAGGCAGGCAAGGCGAAACAGATGCCACCCATCTTTACATAGTTAAACAAATTCAGCACAAACAAATTAACACTTCTTTATGTGTTTAGCAAAGGTGGCAGAAACAAAGGTATCACACCATCACATAAATATTCTGCAGCATAAACAAACTGGTGTTAACTGTGGGCCTCTGACCCCCTGTTCTGGGATTACAGCTATAGGACACCATACTTGGTTTTTTGCAGGGCTAAGGACTGAACCCAGGATGTTTCTGTGCTAGGTAAGGTTTCCACCAACGGAGTCAGATCTCAGCCTCCCTGCCTTCTGCGTGCTGGGAGTCAGTTTGTCTTGTACAAAGATGACAGGTCTCTTCCAGGAGGACCAACAGACACACAGTCAGTGTTTGTGGTCTTGAGTCAGGGCTGAGGGAGTAATCGTCCTATGTGGTGGTTTTCCCAGCTTGTTTCTCAGGAAGTCTCTACAGCATCAGTCCTCATCCCTGGCAACCTCAAGCCTTCAAAACCAAGAGGAAGAAGATAGAGAGGAGTAATCTAGATTTGGGGGAAAAGAATTTATCAGGTGGCCCTAGGTCAAGTCAGTGTGCATCGTTGTGGCTCCCAGTCCCCGGGAGAAGTCTGTTTGCTTTCAGGAGGCTGCAGCCTGTGCTTGGATGACTGTTGTCAGACATTATTGAATCATTAATTGATGGCATAGAGCTCTCAGGGTGGGTAGGCAGGAAGTGTAGAAGGAGGGCAGACTTGAGTTTCCATGGCAACCTAAAGGCCTTGGGTTACTCTGGCCTGAAGCAAGAAGGATGCTCAGACAGCTTTTACCACCACAGACCACAGACCCTCCTGGCTTGAAGTCTCTGGCTGGGCTACAGGCTTCTATGGTGATTCATACTCACCCAGAGCCAACCCCCCACACCTTTAGAATAAAAACTTGCCCTCTTCCGGTTCTCCATTCAATGTCCTGCCTGTCTCTCCCATTTTTTAAACTCCTGACCGCTTTCAGCCACACCAGGCTTCAGACAGGCTGCAGGAAAAATGTGTGTAGAGTCCCTCATTCACTCTAATACTTGATGTACTTAGTGTACGTCTCCCTTGATGGGAGACGAAGGGGACCCAGGCCCAGGGTGAGGTGGGGGGCTGAGAATAGAGCTCAGAGGTAGAGGTCGGAGGCCCAGCCTGCAAGGGGCTATGGTGTCAGTGTCCAGCAGCACACTTGAAACGAAGGAGAATGTGGGCGTCCAGAAGTCACCATGCACAGTTCCGTGAATGACACTGGCAGTCATGAAAATATATTAAAGCCAGCACCATCAGTTGCCAGCTCTGTGACCCTAGGTCTCACTTGGGGGGCAGAGCTGCAATGATCATGTCTTCCCCACAGAGTGACAGCCTTTGAGGAGCCCAGCACCCTTCTGGCCAATGGATACAGCTTAAGGCATGCACGTACCCATCTTGTGTACCCTCAATTTGAACTCCCTTGTGGTTGAAACTTCCTGCCACACCTCTTTCCTCATGAGGTCCCTGGCATATAATGAGAGAACAGACTCACCTTTAGCGTCACAGGGCAGCCAGGGAAGGACAAAGCAGTCACAGAGGTGGTGTGGAAGTGGAGGGGAAATTGGTTTGCCCTCTGGGCTCTGGAAGGGCTGCACAGAGAAGCTGGTATCGAAGCTTGGCCAGGAAACCTCGGTATGTGTCATAACCACCCAGGAGATTGCTGAAATTGATTCCATCCCTTAAAGATACTTTGTGTGTGTGTGTGTGTGTGTGTGTGTGTGTGTGTGTGTGTGTGTTCGTGTCTTCAGAGGTCAGAACAGGCTATCAGAGCTCTGGATCTGGAGTTACAGGTTGTGAGGAACAAACACTCCACACTCATAATATTAAGCCCTGGTGACCGGAGTATTGAAAGTGAGGCAGTTTATATTACAGCCCTGCCAGGCT